ATGCAATAGAATGAATATATATTACAAAGGTGATTTATTAGATGAGGATTGGGTATTCTCATAGTGGCCAATGGAAGCCTCAGCAGTACCAGTCCAATGCTGAAGATGGTGAGGATTTCTGGGAAGCCAAATTTCAAGGCCCTCCTGAACATCCATGTCACATACCTTTTATTCACAACTTCTCTTTCCCATTCAGTCTTTAGCTGTGTTTATAGCTATTTTGGCTTTATTGTAAATCCATATTTTAAATGATGTTTGCAATACCTTATCCTACACATAGAAATTACTTCAGTCAGAGAGTTAACTATGGTTTTTAAGTGATTAGTTTCCTTGGAAAAGAAGCCTATTTGAATTATTTGATTCTGAAGTAGAAGATAAAAGGCTATTCCTCCAAAATCTGTCACTTTCACATTCTTTTACAGCTTAGGAAAAAGATAAAGAAGTCATTTAAATAATAACTTTGAAAAAATTACATCATTAAAATGGGTGATTTCATATCAAAGTTTATTGTTAATAAAATATTACAGTTCTCTTATTATTAATGTTAACTATGAATATCCTATTTCATAGACTCAATAAGAATTTACAAATGTTTCAAAATAAAAATAGCATGCACCATGAAAGGTTTATTCACTTTCTTTGAAAAACGGGACAGAGAGTATCTTAAGGGCAAATTTGGTAGACTTTATGTTCCATGGACGTAATAAATGTGATTAAGGGTAACTTAGAGTCTCTCTTATAGCTCTTGAACTGATTGCTTTTGCTCTTGGTGTTTTAAGGCTAACAGTCTTTTGCTTCTGATACTTACAAGCCTTCTTTATTTGTGGTACACGGTGTGCACAAATACATGGAAGTCTGAGTTTTAAAATGAAGTTAGTTTTCTATTTACCCATATGGAACCAAAGTCAACAGTTTCATTTTAGAACACTGTGTGTCTTAAAATGTACAACACCTGAGCTATTGAGCATCCAATTTTCTTAATAAACATGGGATTTTTATGTATTTATGGGAAGCAAATTATACAGAATTCTTAAAGTAGTTGACAACCAGTTTATTTGCCTCCTGTACAAATGCGTAACATAAATATATCTTCAGTAGAAGCATACAGTTCTTGGTACTACTTGTACTTTATTTATACCATAAATAAATACCCCATAAATTATGGCTACATTATATAATTCATTAAATTGGCAGTGATTTATTGAGCAAGTACTGAATGCAAGATGCAACTTTGGTTACATAAATGGAGAAGCTTTTTCCTTCTCTATTTTAACACAGCAAAAATATGCATTTTAAGTCCTGGTTTCCTAAACATATGAGAAGTCATTAACACTTTTTAATACCTTGTCTACATCTCATAAAGCTTTTGAGTGGCTGTTTTTTTTTTTTTCCTTCCAGTATCTGGGTGTCTTTAAGCACAATATTCAGATTTGTCTCATCAGTGAAGGCCATGTATAAACTGATTTCTGCAATGTGTTTCAAGATAATCCCTTCCCTGTCCCTTAGATAGAAATCATCACCTCTTTTCCTCTAAACTTCTAACATGTATGTGTACCCACATCGCTCAAGGGTTATATTTCTTATTTTACTTTATACTTCAGATTTTCATGTACTTATTTTTCTTAGTAGCTTCCTAGAATTATAAGGTGAGAATTCAACCCTATCTATCAGCATAGAGCCTTATCTATAAACCTGTATTCAAGTAGTGAGAAAAATAAAAAGAAGAAATATATTTGTACATTTTCCTTTACATGGAGGCAAATAATATTTACCTCCTAAAGTTGTACAGCGAAAGTTACCTTAACTAACATTTTTATCACTAGAAAAATTCTAAAAGCTGAAATTCTGGTATGGCTCAATGCCTCCACACCACCTTTCAATCCGATAAGAAGTGTAAGGAGGAAAATTAGCAACAGAGATATAAGATACTGCCATCAGGATACTATTATTTATTATAACTGCAGTAAAATAGATAATGCCTCCAGAAACTGAAGACATAATTACAGTATGTATGTCTATAACACTGACCCCTTATCCATGGAATAGCATTTGAGAGGATGTGAAGGGACAATCACTCAGAAAAGCAAAAGAATTTGAGATAAAATAATAAGTCTGTAGAAAGCTAATACCACCCTTTCACTATAATGCCATACTTTTAAAAACACTTAACTTTTGTATTGATTTGTCCTTAATTAAAAATGCTGTTTTGTTGTGATTGTAGTTTTTAAAGATGCTGAAAATCAATAGTTTCATAATAACTCAATTTGCAAGATTTATGGGTAGATTATGAATAAAATAAATTTTAAATGCTTTTAGAAATTTGGAACATCATCAAAATATATAAAGCTGTGAATTAATTTATTACAAATAACATATATTTATACTTTCCAACCTGGCACATAGTAAGCCAGTGCTAAAATTTAAACTGTGGATAAATTGTACTTTTCATTTACATACTGTCATTTTTTAATCTAAAATTTTCTGCTTCTAGCCATGAAATATTGCCTGAAATCAGAAGATGTGCTTTTTATTTGCATATTCAAATTTCCTAATATTTGTCAGACATAAGCAATATTGTGCAAACACTTTAGTTTTGCTTTAAGCTATTTGTCATTGCAAAAGCCATTTCTCTCTGATTATTGGAAGGTGTTTTCCATTAGTGTAATGACTAAGCTTTTCAAAAAATTCATTGGGAGGAGAAAAATTTACATATTGTTGATAATAGGCCTATTATTCAAAATGTCAAAAGAAGTTGTGTTATCTGACGAACATTTTATTAAAAAGTAGAGTGGAATGGTAATATGGCTGAGATTTTCTCTACAGCCTGGGCTCAAGTTTTCTCAGTCTGGGTGAAATCTAGAGACTTTCTCACTGTAGATAACTCTTATTTCCTGTTGCTTAGTAAGAATCACATTAAGTTTGCACATGGATACAAATGCATTTTTTCCCAAGTGGTTCTAAATCTAAGGTATCATCATTTTCTATGTTTGAGGTATCAACACTTAACTAGGACTTTTTAGAGCATATCTCATACTTGCATTAGTGAAAGCTTTGAGTTTTAGGTGCTGATTAAAATAGAGAGCCTGTTCTGTGTGATACACACACATGCGCACGCGCACACACATACACACACACACACAATTCAACAAATTAAAAGAGTGAATTATACTTGAGGAGAAAGCATAAAAATTTATGTCATGTTATTTAGTAGAGTATTAACATTACCGTTGAAATCTACCCAATGACTTTATAGGCACACACAGGTGCCAAGGATCCAGGTGCAACCGATTATGACTAGTAATAATCAGATACATGCAGATTAGAGACGCATGTGCCAACATCTCAGTGTTGTTAGCAAAAACAATGAGTCTTTCTATAAGAAACAGTATATTTAAAAATGAAATGGAGATCTTTGTTAAAGGTTAAAAACTCATTCAATTTTATGTCTTACAGGGTTCATGCTGAGTTCAGTATTGTATAACTGTATTAATTAAACAGTGAAACTAAAAATTCTATAGCCACTTTTGAAAGAGATGTATCTTTGCTCTGGAAACTAATTGGGAGCCTGTCTCAAAATCAGTGGGAAGTTGTCAAGAATGATTTGGGAGTTCAGTGTCTGCTAATTTTATTTATCCAAAGATTTTCCAAAACATGTATATCATGTATATTTATTAAAATATTCACTAGCTGGAAACATTTGCAAAGGAATCTGACATTATATAAGACTATAGAAACCTGACTAATGTTGGAGTTATTTTTTGTGTTATGGTTTTATATATTGAAAATATATGCACAGTCTATGATATTCAAGAATGTACATGTTTTATATATGTGGGAGAACTATAAAATAACACAAGAAGTTTACTTAAACTTTGTGGAATATATTTATTGCTTTATGTTGAAATTCCTTTTGAATCAAGACATTATGAGAAATAATTAATACATAGTTAAATGACTACTTATTGTCTTTTCTTTTTCTGAAAAGGCGAGCTTATCATAAATATGGAGTTAGAAAGTACTTGTTTATGCATGAAGACAAACTTAATCTTGAAAAGTGAATCAAAATTTGTTCCATTTGTTCTGTGCTTATACTATACAACACTGAAAGAATGGTGGGAAAATTATTTCCAAGCTCTCTCATTTTGTCTTTGCCCTAACATCAGGTTCTACAGACAATACTATGGAGATAGAGCTTATTGCTTAGCCAAATGTACACGGAAGACTCATTTAAATAATAGACAATCTCTATTTGAATTTTCTTTGACATTATTTTTTAAGTTTAATTTTAGTCATTATAAAGGTAGTTGAAGGGTATTAAATGGATTCATTAGCTATAAAAACTTAATTTCACCATTATTCACCATATTAATATTCTTCTCTTTTCTAAAATATCACTTAAGTTTATGACATACTGTGTCTACTTATTTGCTTTATTATAACCAATCAGATAATTACATTTTAATTTTATAATTGGCATTATATATTCGACAAATAGAATGTAAGTTGTTCTACAAATTTGAAGATTTCTTTGATACATCATGTTTAAATGTACTCAAAAGAAGTTTTGTGAAACGTTGGTACTTAATAAATGGTTCATATAAATCAGATGTATTGTAGAAAGATTAGAATACTATTTAATAACTAAAGGCTCATTTAAATTTTATTAAACTAGAATTTGTTATCTAGAGTGCTTTACATTAGTATTATATCTCCTTAAATTAGCCTACTTCTAACAAGGAACCTTTTAGCTTTATTTAATTTTAATGAAGCCAAAAGTTGCAATTTTTGCTATTTTTGCAATTGTATAACTGGGCAATACATTATTGGCTTTACAGTAAATAATGTATCTGTTATGTGCATTATGGTCACAATAGTTGTGTAGGTTACTTTTCAGGGACTTGAAGGCCACTTTTGGTGAAAATATTGGCTCTTCACTTAGACCTACAGATGTCTACTAGGGTGACTGGTATAAGGTACAGAGCGTGGCATCACTGTCTCACCTTGTTTCTGTTTCCTCCAGGGCGGTTGGGCTACAGTCACATAGAAGCTGATATGGCCAGAAACATCCGGCAGTACAAGGAGCAGGAAGAGATGGCACCTGAGATGCTTGGAAGGTCTTAGGACAGTTGCCCCAAAGAGGTGGCTGTCCCTCTCATTGTCAGCCCACCTCTCTCCTCTGTTTCCCCAGGCTCCATAACTCAGTGCCCCAGCTTGGAGCGGCTGATTTGTGGACTCTTGACTCTCCATTCTTTGTCCATTGAATCAGGCTCTCTTCCACCATCTCCATTTGTTGAGCAGAATTGAGCCCTTTACTTGGTGGCATGCCTAGTTAATATAGTGGCTACACTATTAATCAAGTAGGGATTATTGTGTGTGGCTTTTTGTTATTTCAAGATATCTTTGTGGTTTTTAATCAGAACTAAATCAGTGTATTAAAATGGCATAGTTGGAAGGAAAAACAAAAACTATATATGTTGACTTGGTAATGAACTTTCATTGTGGCCTATACCAGAAAACGCTTCCCTGTTCTTTTAGTCTATACAAAAACAACCATATGCATTCCTACTTAGAAGAATATCTGCAAACACCTAGATGTCAGCTTTGTCATTTGAGAAAAGATTTATTAGTCTTTCCTAGGCTAAAATTTCAGTGTTCAACCCATGAGACAAGTGAATTACTGCATTAAGAAAAAGGAAAACTGACAAGGGAGGACATGAATTTATACAACAATATCTGATCCTACTCTACGCCCACTTTACTAAGAAATTCTGAGTTTAAAGACAAAAGGTCAAACTTACTACATATTATTGAAGCTTATAATTTACTACTGATTGCTGTTATTGTTACTGTTTAGCCATCACTTTAACCAAAACACATGACAAGAACAACTACAGAGAGAACAAGTATAGAGGCTCACAGTATCAGTGTCCCTTGTGACGGGGGGGGACAATGCATCAGGGCATGAGCTGGCAGCTTGTTCACTTGGCATGAACCAGAAGCAGTGGTTGAAGAAGGAAGCAGAAGGTAAAACTTAAAAGGGCCACTGCTAGTTACATGCTTGTGTCAGCCAGGCTCCACCTCCGAAAGGCCAGCCTCCAAAATAGCACTTCAAGTTCAGGACCAAATACTTAAACCATGAGCTTGGTTGGGTGGGGGGTGATTTCAGACTCCAGTCATCACACTGACAAATCATGTGACGTATCCTTAATCTTCTTTACTCTAGTTTTCTTACATTTCATATAAAGAGTAGCAAATGTAAGTAAGTGAAAAATTTACAGTATTTTCTGTGTCTGTCAGGTCGATTCTGGTCTGTGGTTTTGCAGTTTTCTCAACTGAAGGGCATGGGTGAGTGTTCTCTCAGGTGAAGACAGAAATTTTTCTGATGGATAAAATGGTCTGTGGATTGGATAAACTCCTGATAGTACTGTTGATGCATTTTATCATTTCTGACATATTTTTTTTCTCCCTCTGAGTGGTAAAAGTGTCCTTTGACAAATCTCCAACACAAAGCTAATCTCTCAATTGTCTTTTGAAGTTTCCCTTCAGAATTTCCCAAGAAATCTTTATGTATACATTTCGGCTGGATCTATAACTGAAATAAATGCCCAATACACTAGGTAATACAGCATTTAGTATGTGAAAAAACAGTAGCCCCTCAGTATTCATATATTCATACCCTGTGAAAATCAAAGTGTGTGATGTTTAACTCCCTTATAGAAAATGATGTAGTGTCTACATATAGTTGAAACCATCTCGAGATGATTTACAACGCTTACAATGCTGTTTATGTTATTGCTATGTAAATAGTTCTTGAATTCTGTTGTTTATGAAACAATAATAAAAATTTGTACATCTTCAAATCAGTGACAATTTTAAATTATTTTATTATTTTATTTATTATTTATTTATTATTTTGGGGTGTGTATGCATGCATATGCACTTGCATACCATGGAGCATATGTGAAGGTCAAAGAATAACCTGGGGATATTAATTACCTTCTATATATGTCTTGATAAAACTCAGGTTGTCAGGCTTGGCAGCAGGCCCCTTTACCTGCTGAGCAATCATCCTCACCTTGGATGCATTTATTTATTTATTATTTATTTTATGTGTATGAATGTTTCTCCTGCATGTATGTAAGTGCACCTGTGTCACACAAAGCCTGTAGAAGCCAGAAAAGCCTGTCAGAACTCCTAGAACTGGAGTTATAGATGGGGATTAGCTGCCATGTGGGTGTTGGGAATCCAACCTGGATCTTCTGGAAGAGCAGCCAGTGCCCTTAACCACTGAGCCCTCTCTCCAGCCCCCTTAGATGTATTTTCACAATTAAAATTTCCAGTTTTTGAGAAATTCATATGAGTACTGTATTTACATCATTTGCCATCTGTACCCATCCTTCTTCCCCATCCAACTTCTCCAGTGTCCCCCAGTCACTCTCAATTTCTTGACTTCTTCTTTTATTATATAGTATATTACACACACACACACACACACACACATATATATATATATATATATATCCTACTTCTTCTACTCAGTATTGCTCATATATACATGTGTTTATGGATGAGCACTTGAGATTGAATAACAGGCAACTCATCCCTGGAAAAAACTTACCTCTGCCTCATCAGCCATTGAATGCCTGTAGCTGTTCATCTAAAGGTAGAGTGTTATGAAATTTCCTCCAGCCACGTTACCATGTCAACTGGTATTAAACAAGTCTTCTTTGGACAGCTGTATTGCTCAGATTTCATGATTGCATCTTTCTGTCCTGTCTAGAAGGTGCAATCTAGCAGCAGGGGTCCTGGTCCTCTTGTGATCTTCACCTCCTTTCCATACTATTCCTAATCATTGGATGTAGGGGTTGCATTGCAGATGCACAAATTAGGGCCTGGCATGTCATAATCACCTTTGCTCTATTTATTGATAAGTTATGGATGTCTGTAATAGTCTCCATCTATTGCAAAAAAGAAACACTTATCACCAGTCAGAATGGCTAAGTTCAAGAAAACAACGGATAGGCATGGAGAGGTGACACAGTGGTTAAGATCACTGACTGCACTTCCAGAGGGCTCAGGGCTAGTTCCCAGCACTCACATGGAGCTAATCACTGTCTATAATTCAGGAGATCTGATGCCTTCTGGCTTCTGTGGGCATTGCAAGCAGAGGGTATATTTACATACATGCATAAAAACTCTCATACTCATAAAAACATATTTAAAAAAGAAAACAACAACAAAAGCTGACAAGGATGTGGGAGAGAGGAATTGGTAGAATTGCAAACTGGGACAGTCACTGTGGAAATCAATGTAGGTAATTTTCAAAAAGCAAAAACTAGATCTACCATATAACCCAGCTATACAACTTCTTGGCATATACTTAATAGACTCAGTATCCTTTGATAGAGATGCCTGCTCAGTCATGCTCGTTGTTGCTTTACATGATAGCTAGGAAATGGAAACAACCTAAATGTCCTTGAACTGATGAATGGGATAATCAAAATGTGGTATATATGCACAGTAGAATTCTGTTCAGTTGTACAAAAAAATAAAATAATTAAATTTGCAAAAAAAAAATTGATGGAACTGGAAAACCTCATACTGAGTAAAATAAGTCTGACTCAGAAAGTCAAAAGGTATGTGTTCTCTCTTATTTGTGGATCTTAGGTCTGAATCTTAAGATGTGAGTATAAACCTAAATAACCACAGACATCATAAACGTAGAAGGGATCTTGGGGCATGGGGAGAAGAAACATTACTGAGGAAACAGTAGGACATAGGCACTATAAAGGGGAAATGGGAAAAATGGGAGGACACTTTAACTGGGGAAGGGAGGAAAGCTAGAGAGAATATAGAGAGAGAAGAAGGAGAGATAAATAGCAACAGAGATGTTTGAAAAAACATAGGAAAATATATTTTATATTTTAAAAAATATGTTATGTGTATGCGCATACATACATATCCTATACATACAATTTAAATGGAGTTACACCACATGAGGTGATAATGTTCCCACCCACCAAAAGCCAATAGACAATATAACAAAGACCCCAGTGCCAGGCATGGCAAATCTCCCTTGCTGTTGTTGGTCAGAGGAGTTCATTGTATTGGCTACTGGTTTCTTCCTAGAACTTGAAAGTAAGACCCTATTGCTGGAGACACTGCACATTTCAAACTTCATGCATTGTAGTTATCATCTCCAGAAATGTAGCTTAGGACATTTGACATTTCCCATGTTGCTCTTAAAAACGATTAATCTTTCATTTAGCCTTTCTGACATGGACTTCTGCTTTTGTTTTTGTTTTATTGAGACAGAATTGAACATTAGTCCAGGATGCCCTGGACCTCACTCTATAGTCCGAGTTGGTCATAAAGTCACAGGGATCCTCTGATTTCAGTCTTCCAAGTGCTGGCATTACATGAGTGACCGACTATGCCTGGCTTGGAATTCATCTTTACTGGTTGTTACATGTTGTTCTTGTCATGTACTTCAGTCATTATATGATTTTGTGTTTGGTGATTTTTGTTTCAAATTATTGACCTCATTTTCCTACTTCTCTTCTTACCTGGAATTTTTTATTTTATGCAAAAATTGTGAATATTGCCCTTTTGGATTGATAATTATTTATTCATATTCAAAAATTTTACCTTTGTTAACAGATCTTGTTGTATGCTATTTCACTTTACTTACGTGAAAATAGGTTGAATATTTAGAATATAGTCTTTAGGCTATAAGGTAAGAACAAACTTATTTGAGGGCTTATTTTATTCCACTATTGAGGCGACACTCTTTTGTATGTACATTCAGTTACCCATGTAGTATATGGATTTCTACTCTGACAACTGAATAAAGCAAATATATCTAACCTTGTAATTGTTCTATCTATTGATACCTTCATTGTTGTTTTCTCAGTTCTTGCCTGAAGCAGCCCCATCATCGCCATACCCCAATTAATACTTAACTGAAAACTTGAGTATGAAATTCTTTGAACGTTTTGACCTCTGTGATTTCTCCCTAATTTTTCTGCCCAGAATTCCTTATTTATTCACATAAATGAAGGGTATACAGTTGTGTCTGTGAAACTCTGCCTAGGTTCCCTGTCCCCACAAAGTGGGATGCAAATCACCCCAAAGCAAAGAACTAGGTAGTTTTGAGTCCTTGTGGTTTGTTTCACGTCTCCTAAGACCCAATGACCTCTCATGTCTGGAATCCTCATCTTGAAAACCACTGCTTTACTTATTCTGTC